TCCTTTTTTTTTTTTATTGGTTGGGGGGTGGGGTGGGGGGAGATGTTTGCTGTTGGGCTGTGTCTCTTGAGTGTGCAGCACCTGCCCCGTTTGCCAGCGTGCGGCGTATTGAGCCGCTGTTTGTTGTGCCTGATGCATCTTGATGGATTCCCCGTGTGTTTCTTCCTCGCGTCCCCCCTCCCACCAGGTTGCGTGCATTCCGGGCTAAAACGTGCGTCGGGCTGCGATGCGGCGTCTCCCCCGCGTCGTGACGTCCTTGTCGTCGGACGAGACCGACTCCAACCTCCAGGACTTCGTGAACGCGTCGTGGGAGGTGGTACGGCTGTCCAGCGTCGGCTCATTGCCATTCTCCGACTTCTCCCACCTCCCGTACGAGGAGCAGTCGACATTTCTCTCCAGCACCATCGATACCACGTCGCCAGCCCCACAGATCGCCGGCGGCCGCGACAGTAACGACATGGTGCTGAGCGCAGTCACGCCAGTGCCGAGAGATGCATTTTTCTCCGCGTCTGTCAGCACACGGCCGTCAACGGTTCTCGTTGGCCCAGTCGCCGCGCGCGCGAAGGCGCAGGAAAGGACGACCGTGTCGCAGTTAAACTCCACGCGGAAGTTTGAGGATACGCAACCGCTACCAAAACCGTTGTTTCATTCCGTTACTGAGTTGAAAGACTCGTTTTCTTCTCCGTCTGGCGAGATGTCTTCTCTGCAGAGTGGGTTGTCTCCTTCTGCTGCGCATCTGCCACCAGTGTCGTCCGTGTGCAAGCAGCACGAGTCGTCGCCAGCTGTAGATACGGTGGGAAAATGTAGCAACTCTGAGCCTGAGGCCGACAAGCACCCCTCGCCGTCTCAACACCGTACTAGGCGAAAGGGACCACCCAACGGACGCTCCATGAGGCGTCGCATGGTGACTTTGTTTTCCACCGCAGATGTGGTGGATTGGGCTGAGGATAGTCCCTGTATGGTGCCCTTGCAGGTGGAACGAACCACTCCGCAAAAGAAGCCTTTGAAAGGCACTCGTACGGCTTCCTCTGCACTGGGCGAGAAGCAACAAGTTCCAAACATTGTACGCGACACAAAACACAAGGTTGTAGTGAAACCTGAAGTGACGCCTAACGAAGGCACCTCAACTTTGTGCGAAAGAGTGGCTGGCAGCTCAGCAAAGGGGGCGCAGCCGCACACCACCCCTCCCACTGGGGAAAATCAAGAACAGCGCAAGCCTGCTCCGTTTACTTTGCTTCATTCAGAGCCTAGGAAGGAGGAGGCGCGCCCTGTCGCGCAAATGAAATCGGAGGCTGGCACAATAAAGAATGCAGTGCCGACGCTATCCAACGCGGTGCCACAAGCTGCGAACAGCAGCCACACATCGGCGCCTCGGAAATATGTGCCCCCCGATCGGCTGATGCGTCTCGTAAAGGATGTCACGGATCCGGAGGTGTTGTTACTCATTCGTGACTATATTGCGGAACACTACCGTGACCCAAAAATTCGTGCAGTCATCGACTTGTGTGACGCTATTCTCAACGGGAACGACGAGGGCCACAATGAGCGCCAAACAGAGCCCAACTCGGACCGAAAGGGAAGGTGCCACGATGACGATGAGCACAATTTCCTGGAAAATGATGAAGATGCATATGATGTGGCTCCTGGCGATGACGAATTCGACGACAGCAATATTAAAACATTACCATACCCTCCGATTGATCCACGTGGACGCTTCTCTTTCGTGGCTCCGTCAGTACACGGGGTTACTACCTCCATCTTCAGCTCTGGTAAGCTCTACAAGATCGTGACGGGAAAAGGTGAAATCTTTTTCTTAAATGACACTCTGCAGTATGCCATGATAGTACGCGTACGCTGTCAACTGAAGGGCAACGAAGTGATCAACGAAAAGGCGGTCTGTACGCCGTTAGAGACCGGCGTAACAGAGATTACCCTGGCAGTACTGCCGGAGGAGACCATGTTTTTCATGAAAAGTGACAGCAAACTTCCGCGCGTCCGGGCAAAGGGCGTCATTCCACCGTCGGAATTCGTTGCGCCGTCCGTGCCACGCTGCATGGAGGATATATCGAAAGGCATTGAAGCCGTACGGTCAAGGCTGGGTCCGTGGAGCCGTGCAAGTGATCAGAAATCCTTTTTGAGATGCTGTATGAACAACAATCTTAAATTTACGGACCTTGAGTTTCGCCCATCTGCCATTTCGTTATTTCGGCCGGGTGTTGATACGGTGGCCGTTGTTCCATTGACATGGCGCCGTCCGCAGGACTATCTGCTCCTCACAGAGGTATCCGAGGTGCGCTTATTTCGTCAGGATATCTCGTGCCATTTGGTGCGACAAGGTGATTTAGCGGATCACACCGTTGTTGCTAGCATTGCTGCAGTGGCCCAGTTTCCGTCTCATGTCCGTTGGATGTTCCGTCACCCGGTGAGTTCCTCGACGGGGAAACGCGAGCGTGCGATTGGCGTGTACCGTGTGCGGCTATGTGTGGGCGGATGGTGGACGACACTGCTACTCGATGACTACTTTCCTGCTTCAATGAAGGCGCCACTTTTTGCGCGGTGCCCGGTTGATCCGCGCCGCCTTTGGGTCTCGCTTCTGGAGAAAGCCTACGCCAAGGCGCTTGGCTCCTACGCAGCATTGTGTGAAGCAGAGGTGCTCGACGTCATGACTGACTTCACGGGATACCCGTACCGCGAACTTGACGAACTCTGGGCTGCGGCGGCGGAGAACCCGGACGTCGCCAAGACACTCTACAATTATATCCACAGTAGCGCAAAGCGTCACTTTATTGTCATGGTGTACACACCATCGTCACATGAACCACAGTCTCCCTCCTCGTCAGGTATATCGCGTCGCCTTTCAATGCGGTTGAACGGCTCGACGGAGGCGACCGCGCTGTTCATCCCTGGCCATGTCTACTTCATCACGGAGGCGCTTTACTATGAGGATTTAGACTTGCGCATGGTGCGGCTGAAGAACCCATGGACGTGGCGGACAGCCCGAAGTGCGCGTCAGGCAAACACGTGGAGACGAGCCAAATGGTTTGAGCAGCCGGACAGAAGCTTGTCAATGGGGAGTGTTGGTACCATGATACAGTCGAAGCGTGGCAACGGTGCTGGCGACTCTTCTCACAGTCTCAATGATGATATTGGAACGATGTGGTTAGAATGGTCTGAGGCACTCAATATATTTGCGGGTGGTGGTGTTTGCTACACCCTGTGGAGTTGGCACGACTACCGGATTAAAAACTGCTTCCGAAACGGCATTCCCGATGTCGTTCTTGAAGTGTCGGTTAAAAAGAAAATGGAAGCCATCATAACCATCTCTCAGATGAGTCTGCTGAATAACCCCGGAGGTGTGCAATCGGCTGGATACGACGCCGTACTCCTCTTGGTTTCTCGTCATATGGAAGCGAAGAAAAGAGAGATGCTCGCGTTCAAGAGCTCCAACGATTTAGAGGTGCGTAGCGGTAAATTGACATACCACGCAGCTCGAGAGGTGTCGCTCAAGTGCATTTTCGAGCCCCGGTACAGCCCCTTCTATGTCATACCAAGGGTGCACGATCAGTGCTGCCGGGATAAGGCACCATTTGTCGTTTCATTCATGTGTGACACTGTGGTGGGCGGTGACGATGCTCATGTTCGCTTCTGCCGTATGGACAAGGCGTGCGATGTATTCCGGAACATGCCATCGTTTGCGGTAAATAGCAATCTGTGCACCCCCACCGTTGCGGCATATCAGCGTCGTACTGATGCGGGTATATTTACTTTTGATGGCCAATTCATTAAGCCGTAACCGCATTGTATGTAAGAGGAACTATAGAATCATGGGTAGGATCCTGACGG